CATTGTTATTATTATTAATTATTAAATAATGGTAATAATAATAATTGTTACTATTATTATAAATAATGATCTCTGCGATAAACTGGGGGTGTAAGGTTTTCAATTCAATAACAAAATTTTATTCAAAACAAATTTCGAAACATTTTTGGTGAAATTATAAAGAAGACAGGGGTTTTTGCGAACCATGATTACCATTATCTTGCAAATATCAACTAAGATTTCTCGACAAGAGTAGTCGATAAATTATTATACTAAGATTAAAGAAATTGCAAAACTCTATTATAAACGATATGAAACTTGCAATAATGAACAAGAAAGTACTAGTAATATTTCAAAATGACATTAATCATACTAACGTAGTTATTTCATAGATTAGCAATAAGAAGAATTCTTCCTTACTAAATTAGAATGAACAAAAAATGAAAATATACTTATCATTCAGCCGGCACTCTCAAAAAGTCTGAGTTTGGAATCAATATCTCACTTAATAGTTCACAAGTCTTGCTAGTAACTAGACTATTAATTTAATTTTATTCTTGCGTTTTCCCTGAAATCTCTTGTTTCTCACAAGTTTACACAAATGTCATGCTAATAATTGGACTGTTAATTTGATTTTCCAGTCTATGCTTTCTTTGAAATCTTGCTTTTCATAAACCTTAATAAGTGTCGTGCTAACAATTAACTTTATGTTTTCGTCAAAATATTTACCTTTCATAAGTTTTTACGACTATCTTTTGACTTTCAATTTACTTCGTATGCTTAAAACAATGCCGTGATGAAAATCTGTGACACACGAGTTGTGTTGTTGACATTACTAAGACTGTCAAAAGTTACTATTACAAATCTTTTGCATCTGCATGGAAGAGTAGTGGACTTAGTGTGGAAGTATTATTTAAAAGAATAAAAATAATAGCTGTATATCGATAGTGTTGTTATCATTTATCAGTAGTGGGATGTTTGAAAACATTGTGATAGCTAAGGTTCTTTGTCATATCAGGTCCTCACTTTTTGAAATAACTCTCCAGATCTGATGACTGTCGCACACAGATTCAGCATCATTCGTAATTCTCCTCAAACGCCAGCTCCATACTGTAACGACTAATCCAACTTAGAGCTCTTGATACAAATGTTGAACAAACCAGGTCGACCATAATAGCATACCATGTGGTTTACCATGACCGCTCTGCACAGTATCTGGTCTGAATATCGGATAGTAGGTAGGGGGTGCCGACATTTTGTCCAAATCCGGTTTTCTTGTACTCGAAGCGTATTTCCGAATCTCTATTTGTTTTTAGATCACGGGTGGTTTCTGTGCTGTTCACGAATAGATCACTACTGCGCGTATAGTTCGTTGTTTCACGCATTCTTTCAGTCTGTGAAACTGTTCTCTTAAAAATTTTGACAGTCTGTCGTATTTCTCAACTCCACTGCACGGTCACACCGGTAATCCAGACTGACCTACTGGAGGGAGGAGGATTGGAGAATTTACATAGCATGTCAGAAATCGCTGACTAAATGTTTGGAAGGCTTTTAGTGGTCGAATCTGTTTCCTATTTTTTTCACTAACTGGTTGTCCGACTGTTTTTGTTAAGTTTATAGCGCATTTGCGACTCAAGAAGAGTTTAGGGAGCAGAAATTTTTTTTTCACATAGACATTCAGCATGTATGTTTATTTAGCCCTCTAGTGCTTTAAGTTACCATTTATCCTAAATTGTTCCATTACAGCAATATATTTTCAGGATGCGTAAGGAAGGACTGTGAATGCTTGTGACTAAAGTAGAGCAGAGCGAAGTACGCCAGCTCGTAGACGCTTTTAAATCTGAAGGCTCATTTGATAAACTAAGGCGAAAAATTTTCAGCACGATCGCCGCTACTGTATGTGAATTTTTCGAAGTTCAGCATTTTAGTTTAAATGTTAAATTACTCAGAACAAGTAACAAGGCGATCATTTAGTTTTATTCATTATCCGATGATGAAAGCCTTTTGCGGTGTCTGGAAAGAAGCGTTTAATTTACTCTTTAGTTAAGACATCATGCTTTCCACCTTCTGACTTTTGCTAATCATTCGGATCTTTTCCATACATTTGGGGCTTCCAGCAATGTTTGTTGCCTTGTATTGGTATCATTTATTCTTTTCCAGTTTCTCACTGTGTAAATTGTTCCAGTTAATTTAAATGAGGAATCATGTTAGGTTCAGGCTGATAGTTTATGATTAATTTTTGTATCGCCAATCATTGGTAATGTTGCAGGATCGTTACCAAAAAGTGGTGTTAAATGCTGAAGAAATTGTTGACGATTTATTAAAGACATCTGCACCAGATCTCACGAAAAATAAAGCACTCGATATACTCAGGAAGAAGCTTTTTGCTCTGCACAGTACGCAGTATGGCATTATGATCACTGAAGTGTGTTTCCTCTCCCTTGCTTTTCCTTTGTTTCAAATTTTTACTAACTAAAACTAGCTTGAATACGGTAAATTTGCGGACATATATAACAGTTGATTGATTTTAGGGTTTGGATGCTAGTGAAACGTTATGTAGCTTATTGGAAGAAATCGGCCACTATGTTGATTCGTTTCTTGGCCTAACAAAAAAGGAACTGCTTGAAAGTATTCAATCGCAGCAGCCCATTGAAGATCACGAAGTATAATGATTTTCATTATTGACCAATCAATGCTACCTCCACAAGAGCTTGGTAGAATGAGGGTATAGAAATCAAGGAATTTCACTTTTTCAGTTTGTTGAAAAAATGTTACTGAAAGTTATCATTACAGGTTTGTGATATGGAAATAGATTCAGATTCCGAGCAAAGCCCTCAAATTAGTGCAACCAAAGAGACTCCTTTGTCTGATATAGCTCTTCCGCCAACTGCTTATCCAAATTCAAATTTATCCTCGACAATGTCATTTCCTCATGCTGCGCTTGCTGAGGCTGGTGTAATTTTGCAATTTAATGCTCCGGTGTATTGAAAACCCTTTGTTCCTAAAGACAGCCTGTTAGACAACTTAGTCATGTGCTGTCAGTAACTTTTACTCTGCTTAAAAAGTGACGAAATAATGTTTTATTCGTCAAACCTGTTTTAACATTAAGCCGATAAAGAAGTGCATAGGAGCATTTGTCCGTAGCACGATGTTTATTTTTCCATCACGTATTATCAAATTAGTTACGGCAGTAAATCCATGTTCAAGAATTATTTTGTTCTTGGACGATAGTTAGACTTTCGCCAGTAATTCAAAACAACACACTTTATTAGCATCTTATTACTGACAGAAACAATCAAGATGAGTCCTTCTATATTATATGCATATTTTATGGATTCTAAAAACTCAACAATAAATTTAGGACGGCATACTTCAAAATCATCCATCATTATTTGAGTGCTTTTGCCTTTTCTGATCCCATTAACTGCCTTCATTAGTAATTAATTATCAAGTTAGAACGAGTGAGTGATTGGTGGGTGCATTCATTTCGAAGTTTCTCCACGTTTAAATAGTTTTCTTGGTCTCTTAAACATAATTTTTCAATAATATATTGATTTCAAACATAATATATTGATTTCCAGATGCCATCCGTTCCAAGCACTACAAGCTTTTTTAATTCTATGGGTATGTTAACGAGATTTTCTACAGACTTTCTTTTTTCGAGTAATGGTTTTTGCTTCTGAATTATAGAATTCCTACTAATTCTAATATTTCATTCCGTCATCAGTACTGTTTTTTTAAGCCAGTATCGCTTACGCTAAGTCGACAGATGAAATGATAACTGCTAGATCAAAACCGTTTCCCAAACATTCTGGATGTGGGGATATTGATGCTTCAGTTACTTCGTACCAAGCACAAAAATCGTCACAAAGAAATTTTACTCCAACTCGAGCGTAAATTTTGCATTGCTTCCGTATAACTTTTGATTGAATTTTTCATTTCAGTTTATCTGCAACATTTCCCTTTTTAAACTTCGTATGAAGCACTGATTCTACTTATTTTTAGTTATATATTACTTCATCCTTTTAAATATTAGCATTAATTGTGCAAATTGATGCAGGCAGCAGTATCATCCAAGCATTACGTGACATCAACTGTGCAGTATCATGCAAGGCGTCGACGTAAAACTTGTAATGGAGACTTTGTACCCTATTGATAGAACTACCTCTCGACAATTGTGATACCCTTCATATTCGAGCTTATGTTGTTTGCAACTGTAATCACTTTTTTTTTTTCATAGGGATCAAGCTTTCCATACTTTTTCGTGGTTGTCCCTTTTTCGGTTTTCTGTTGCCTCTAACTCGTTTGTCTTTCAAAATGTTTATAGGTTTGATTATTTATTCTATTAAGTATGCTCTTGAAGCAACGTCGAATTTGTAGTTAATAAAGTGAATAAATTAAAGTTTCTGATCACATACTGCAGTGAATTAGGCTCAACAAATCTCGTTTCAGATCTTCACTTCGTGATGGTCCAACATATACCTTTGATGGGTCATCCGTCAGTTTCGTAAGATATTCGCTGAAAAATTACTTCAGAAAAAAAACGACCTGACGGACTTTTTCGGTCACTTATTCCATGCAGTAGAGTGAGGAGGAAGGAACAGGATGTCTACTCATGTTGATGTTATTCATTTCATCACAGTACAGAGGGAGGAAACAGTTCTTGAGAGCATTGTTTTAGAAAGGTATGGGAGGAGGGGTTTTATGTGTAGTTACTAATTCTAAGGTTGGTACGATGAAATAGTTGTATAAAACCAAATAAAGTAACCCACAAATTATTAAGCTGTGACATGCTGACAGCATAAAAATCAACATTTGGCATTCGGCGAATTTCTTCTGCTGGCTTACTGGCATCGTCTTGCGAGAATCTGCAATGTGCATGTTGAATGGAACGTTTCCTTCATCGTTCAGAACGTACTTATGTTATATATCTTGTAAATGTAATCATCTGAAGTTCATCGTGAGATTCAGTTGTAAAGTCTCAAAAGTAAGTGACCTATCCAAAACGTAAAAAAAAGTGGCGTACCCATCGCTTACAAGTATCACAGTTGTTGGTATTCCTTGTCTGCGAGTTTCCAAAACATCGACTGAATTTTCCAGTGCACGTCCGATATATGTCGTCCCTTAATAATAATTGATTCCTTTCAAAATATATGAATTACAATCCTAAACTGAAGGTACAGCTATGAGCAGCAAGAAATATTAGGGCAGGGTGTGGAAAATCTCACTTTAAAGATAACTGCTCTGCGCACTACCTTACTCTTCATTATGGACAGAAAAAAGGAGCTTCTGCATCTATAGATTTCCTTCATCAGTGGAAACTTTGTGAGAAGTCTGTTTCTTTTAAATATCAATATTTGTGACTAAAATTAAACTTGACCAACTATTGACCTTTCTGATTTAAACCTAACCAATTTTTTTCCAAGTATTTCTCCATCAAAATAATGTACCGGTAAAATGTCGAACTTGAGACAGTGCTTCCGCGATATCTCTGATATCTTTATATGTATCGAATGTCCATTCAACTCTCTGATGTGAACTACCAGCGAATTGAATCAAAGCAACTCGTTGGTCGCCTTCACCAATCTTATAAGAAAAAAGGGTTTTTTCTTTTTAATCGAAATATTTAGTCATTTGGGACGCGTAAGTAATTGACATGGAACAACAGGACGGTTTCTGTTCCATTTTTTAGTAGTATTTCATTTCTTAATGTTAAACTTTTTAATCTGTATGCTAGAAAAAGTTCAGCATACTTTCAAAACATTCTAATTCGTGTGATTATTTCTTATGATTAGATAAATCGGATATCTTAAGCATAATGATCGGCTATAAGATCTTTCAAAAATCATAGATTATATGGAAAATAATTACTTGTAATTCATTGAGCAGTGACAAAAGGTATTCTTTTTGTTGATCGTATATCCTTTGCACTGACCCAGAACTGTCAACGATGAATAAAATTTCTCGTGGACACTGTCCTAAAAAAAAAAAAAATGGATGAATTATTCGATGTTCTTCTACACTCGTTTTATTTACCTCGACTTTTTTCAATGCTTCCAGCTGATCCTGTTTTCCCTGACTTTCTTGCAGTTGAAATACGTTGCACTGTCACATGTCTGAAATAATGATGAATCTGTTGGAAATTGCAAATCAGAAAATATCATCAGGTGAAAGCCGTATATCAACAAGTACGAGGTATTGAAAGTCTAGAATATATCAATCAAGATAACGGAAAACTAGCTTATCGAGTATTCCTTTCATGTATGAACGGTAAAGAAGCGCTACATATGTAATTAGAAATTATTAAAAAGATAAGTCGAACTTTGTAAATAAACTAATAATTATGTCTGTTAAGAATTTATCAACGTTAAATTTGTAAGAAAACTCTCAAGCTGTCCGAAAATATGACGGACCGTGGTGCTGATGTTGTCTTACTGCTCGTGAGATCTACCGGCCGTGAAGTTTCTCGACCTTCAGTGAATGGGTAGTTTGTAGACGATGTTATCACTTCTACTCGTGGATGTCCCTTTCGTAGCTTCCTGGTAAATTTAGAAAGGGTTACACCATTCTCACTTTCTTCATCATTTTCACTGCGCTGAAAATTTGAGTGTTATGGTTGACCAGAATGTTGAAAAAAAAAATAATATTGGAAGTATACTGAAGATACTTTCCTGCCATTAATTTCTCATATCATAGAATTTAAAAGAATCAGCGCAGCTATTGAAAGGTCATTAAAACATCTTTGGATGCCTTGTATCACTGTTAGCGCTTGAACTCGTTTCATAATGTTGTTATAGTAAAGTTTTTTTGGTTATTTAAATAAACTGATTATAGTGTCAGAATCACTAACATCCTTACTGAAGGTCGATTGCTGGGGGATAGTTATAGCTCCGACAAACTGTTCGTCAACATTCACCATACTTATTGGTACTTCATCAGTATTTTCATCGCTAATTTTATTTCGTGCATCTGTTTCCGCAACCTTCGCATCCTATAAGTATCAGTTTGCCGGGTCATTAATAATGCTCATGAACAATTTTTTCCATAACGTATTTTCAGTGTACTTTCGGTTTCTATTTCTTCAATCATAGATTTTCAAGTCTCACTCAAATCGGAATTTATTTTGCCATAATATAAAACTTCTGACTAATGCTTGCAATTTGAAATCACAGGATTAATAAGTTTAATTTAACACAAAATTAATGAAATTCGGGAATTGCCAAGTTGAAGCAACGATCCGATTTATAAAAGTTACAGTAGGCGCAATCATACCTGATCTTCAGAGACAGTTAATTGTCTGGCCGGAATTTTCCTGTTCTTATGTTTCAACTGTGTATCTTTCGTAAATGATTTATGTGATGTAGGATATGTTGTAGCTGATGTGCGTGTTCTGCTAGTCGTATGCAGTTTTGTTGATGTGGCGATCTTACTTGAAGACTGGAATGATTCGATCCTTGTTGTTGTATTTGTTATTGTTTTTATGGTAGCTGTTGGTATTTCCCATTCCTTCTGAGATTCGCACATTTCGGCATTTTCCACTTCATCAATTAATATTCTTTTCAGTCGAGTGAATTCATGCGGTCTGAAATCATAAGCTATTTAATTACCTAATCATATGGCTCAAATAGCAATTAACTGAAAATATCGGAAGAAAACATTAAGGCATTGTGGTTTCTTTTCTCGAACTACGTCATTTATTTGCTGTAGAGCGTTAATTACAGCTTTTCAATTCCATGGATAAAATACGCCTTGACCAAAATAATTTTCATTTTCCAAGTTTTCATTTTACTCTGAAGCTACTCAGCAACTTACGATATCACTCCGATAAGAAAAAGCTAAAATGGTAATTGATAAATGAAGGTATCCTGTAAATAAATGGGTCATACGTTCAAACATGGGATTCTTTAAAAGTTAAGCCACAGAAGAAAGAACACGATCAGTTTATTAAATGTTACTTTAATAAGATTATGGCTGATATGACCTCTCGGGTGATGGATATCATTTTTGATGAATGTACTATAAAATTTTATTCACTTCTCTACAAAAAAAGGTAGTGGATAAGGGGGAGATGGAGATCAGAACAAGTTGTTTCAATGATTTGTCCGTTTTTAAAGATGCAGTATTTACACACCAATCCTCCAAGGAAACAATTTTGTTTTCTCCTATTTCGAATTGGTTACAGCGGTCAACAGTGCCATCATTGTACTCTTTTTCTTGTCCTTTCAAACGTCACACCTCAATTATTCTTTCTGACAGAAAATTTTAAACTCGCTAACTTGATTCCTTTAAATGCACTGTTAGACCACCCAGCACTGCGTCACAAAATCTTAAATAAATGTTCACTCAACCTTAATGAGAAGCGCGTTAGGAATCATTCGATTTAACGATGTTATTACATATTTAATTACTACAAGTTAGAATTTGCAATGAGTCAGTGCATTTAAATCTTAGCGTTTATGGGATATTGATTATGTCATAATTCACGAAATAACTGAATAAAGTATAACGAGCGAACCCGAAGATATTCGATTTACCGCCAGCGATGCGGTCCATTTCATATTCAAAACCGTCTGACCCAACATATACAACGTAAATTTTGACCTTTTCGACTTCACGTAACTGTTGAGCGTGTTTTACAGGATCATCGACAGATAATCCATCCGTAAATAGAACAATGATTTTGCTAGCATTTTTTCTGAAATTCCATCAATTTATGCTTAAAGAGTTCAAACCATGTGCTAAAACACTTCCCTCATCATAACTAATCATTCGAAGTCTGTAAAATGTCAATTTTTTCTTTTCTAATATTTCTTCCCAAAATAGCAGCAATCCAACATAAAGGTTATTTTGAAAATGGCATGGTTCAAGTTCGTAGTCTGTTTCAGGCACGAAAAGACCGAGGAATATCTGTGATAGTAAAGTAAATCTGAAACACTTAGTGTATTCTTCCGTAATTAGCATAAAATTATTTCTCATTAAATTGAAAATTTTTGGACAAAAAATTATGCTCCACTTAACAAATGAAACCGTTATTGAAACAATATTATGACCAACTTTCAACCAACCTGGCTCCTTTCTTCTCACTAAACAATTCAACTTTTGCTGCCAGTAGCGCTTTACCTGTCCTGGTACCACCAGAATGGAAATTAATTGTCATAATATGATTGGTAATATCACGTGGATTTCGATAAGTATCAAGGGAAAATTCGATAGTCGGCGTTTCCGCATACTGAATCATGGCAATATGCACTTGATCCTTATCAGTTAGTAGTGCTTCGGTCAACTGGGTGGTCCAATTAATATGCTTTGTATAGATTTGCTCCAGGCTTCCAGAAGTATCCAAGAGAAACAGCAAATCCACACCACATCCTTCCTTTGCTGGATCTGTATCAATCGTACCACTTATTACTAACCAATAAGTTAATGAAAGAAAATTGACATTTATTCTAGGGTGCGTAAAAACTTTGAAGTTTGTTATTTTAAAAAGTTAATCTTAGGACATTCAAAAATGATATGCTATCCATACATGTCCCAGTGAATTCCAAAACATCGTTGCCACCATCATCTTGTTGCACGGCCGATGACTGCCAAAGATTTTCTGGGGTCAATAGATCCTCTCCTTCTCCGGATCCTTCGCCAGATCCTTCGAAATCATCATTTTCAGCGCAGCATACAGAAATGAACAGCACAAACCACGCAAATCGAAAAGTCATGTCCATCGAATCAGCAAAATAGTTTCTGCTTTACATGACCCTTTTATCTCCCATGCCTTCTAAATGGGGTTTCCGGGGTAAAAAGGCCTGTAGGATTTGATCCGCCCATTTACATCTTATTCCTCCCTTCGTTCATCCAGAAAGAACAAATCAACTCTCTCCTTCCTTCACACTTCTACAATCCGTTATTGCCCGTCACAACTGCATCTGGTATCCTCATTCGCCATTTATGTAAACATTATCCTGTACCAATGAATGTGAATTGAATTGGTTTTCCTTTCTCAGCTTTTTTTTTTCTTCTAAATTTCAACTACAAATACACTGTCCATTCTGAATAAATCAAAACAACAACGTATCCAACTCTCCATGCTGATTATCAGTAGATAACAAGAGCTGAATTACTGCTACTACATGATACACAGAAATGAGCAACATCTACCAGTGTAATAGTTGTCCAATATGTGAGATATATGTATGCCCCGGAACTTTTAGTCAACTCAAAAAAAAGAGAAATCACTGCAATCGGTTAGTAGGTCAACAACTGGTCAATCGGTTGTTAGGTTATTACTAAATAACTGGACAACAACAATGAAATGAATCCAACTCTTACAAGTATGATCTGGCTTACGACCACAATAAATATATAGCAACAAAAACACTACCATCAGGTTTGATGAATATAATGAAATGTCGCCTGGTTTGCACTACTTTGTTTTCCCCAAAATACAAGAATTGCTTAAACGTTCAGCACATGAGATAATAACGGCAACCTTCTGGAGGAAACGACACTGAGCATTCAGTTTTAATTCATCTTCGAGTTGAACTATTTGAAAAAATTTTGCATGGGAGATAAGACCAACTATCACTGTTGCATGCAAGACTTATTCCTAATAATCAAGTCATGTTAAACATTTGGTCAGAATTATATGCAGAAAGCAATTAACTTCCCTGACAAAGTGGTCACCACTTTATACTCAATAATGCTATCTTCAGCATAAGAAATGGCATTATCCCAGCCAAATAAATTAACTTGTTAGAATGATCGGATGATAAACAGAGTAGGGACAGTTCATGTTACCCTTTGCCTAACATTCCTAATTTTTCTCAACTGTAACGCACACAAAACTATTTTCAAATTTAATGATTTCGAAAATTTAAACGATAAAAATATTTGTTGTTGTATTGTCCTTCTCTTTCTGTTCTCCCATCCTTTTTTTTACACCAAACGAAACAAAGAAACCACAAAAGGATACAAACACATTTTTGTTCGACAGAAATTTCGGTGTTTTTTGCGTCACCTTTTCCCATCGTCCCATATCATAAATATCACAAAGAGCTCCATAACACAACTCCCTTCAAACACTTAGCAGCGTAATGCAGACAAGTATCTACAAAACAATTACCTATGCTTAGTCGATGGGTCACATCGACCAGCAGTGTAATGGATAAAAAATTCACTACATTAACCCGCGCAAATTTATACTCATTTCAGGAATCGATGGATATAACCCATCATTAAAACTAGTCATTCCTTTTTGCCCAATCTACATCGAAAATTTGCATCAGAAAAATCACATGTTTCTCAAAGATCGATTTATCGCTGATTCACTAAGTCTTGCACTGCTATACCAATATAAGAAAGGTAATCAATTTATCAAAATTACAGAAAAGACACAGAAGGAGAACAGCAACAATTGAGATACATTTACTGCATTAACAGTGCCCAATTCCACTGAATAATCAGAGATTGTATTGCCTATCTCCTGGCAGCTTCACTCATTCCAAACCTACTACTTCCGAGCATATTTACTACATATGATTGAAAAAACACAAAACAAAGAGAGCAATGTTTAACATCAAAAACTGATTTATAAAATTCTTCGAACTGTTTTTGTTGAGAAATATTAAAGCACCATAATATGCGTTACAGCAGCTAACGCTTTATTGTACACAAAAGTTGAAAGTTAAATTTTCGTCTGCAACCTCTTCCTTTGTTACCTATATTTAATCGACGCATCATATCAGCCAGCAATGTAATGGACAAAAAATTCGCTGTTTGCAACTTTGCATAAATTTATACCCATTTCAGGAACTTGAATAAGTTCATTTGAGCGTTCATGATATAAATATAATTAAAACGAACGTTTTCCGTCAAACAGTCACGCAGATACCATAATAACAAGCAATCACACAATGACTGTCCAGATTTTTAAAACTGAATCCTGTCCAACGGTGATGATCCGATTTGGACCAAGCCAATCAATCCCATTAATTGGGCTCATTGTATGCGCTCCTGAAAATGATCCGAAAAATATTTTTCGAATGCTGACACTTTTCAAGGAAGATACAGGTAATCAGTAAATGAAAGTTAATAATTCAGGTCTAATTCAAAGTGTGGATTTCGTGAAATACTTAATTCAGTATGAAAATATGGATTCAATTCAAAAGGATCACACTGCGCAGCAGCTAACCTCTGATAATTATTGGATGTTCCCCGCTATGGTTCAAATCCCAAACAATGACATTCGTATCAATGCCACCAGTTGCAACAAAACGACTGTCTGGCGACCAAGCAGAACAATTTACTCGAGCTGAATGAAAGGTCCATTCTTTCTCTGTGACACATTTGTAATCATTATCCACGGAATACGGTATTACCTGCAAGAACTTACAATTTTGAGTTTGATTTATTAATTGCAAAAAAACAAGGAAATTACAGCTCTCATGTTCCAAGTAAAAAAAAGAAAAAAAACACTTTGTTGTAAACATTCTTCATTTCAAGCAACTGAAGATAAAAATAATAGGAGCATTCCTTGTGTTGTACTCCAGAAATATATTTTACTTAAATCACCAAGGTGTCATGATTTAATCATAATAATGATGAAAGATTTCAATCTGTTTGCCCTGGGATTGCTTCTAAACTGCAACACCAATTTATCTAATGAAATAGCATTTTGAATTTGATAATGGAAGCAATGAAAGGTCTGGAAAGGTTGGGAAAGCCCCACTAGGTTGATCAAAGGTGAGAAAGGAAAAAAAATTAAAGTACCTTCCTATTTGTATCTGTTGCAACAAGGAAATTTCCGTTCGGACTCCAGGAAAGAGAAGTAATGGATCCAGTTTGTGAGATCGTTTTTATTTCCTTCATTTGATTGCTATTTAATTCATAAACATGTACCTTCCCCTCCTAAAAAATACCAACTGAGAAGTAATGAAAATATATACCAGAAAGGACTCACTTGAAAAAAGAAAAAAAACATGATTATTCTTTTACCTGACTACCAACAGCGGTAAGCCTCGAATCTGGAGCAACAGCGACACAAGAAGCTTCGTAGTCAATGTTTTCCGAGATCGTTTGTTTGCCATCCGAGAAAACAGTAACTGATTTCTGGCAAGCAACAACTGCAATCTTACCACCAGAACCTAATGCAAGTTGTCGCGGTTGTGATGATAATTTCACCTTGTTTGACTGAACATGATCTAAAAATAATAGTAACTGAAACACTTCACTGCAACGATGTAGTCAAATAAATCAAATCTGAGTAAATTAAAGTTCTAGTTTTGCTGAAAAAAAAAACAAGACAAACATGAACTCACCGAGTGAACCAGGAAAAGAAGTAAATGCAATCGAGTCATCCCAACCAACCGATACCAAATCACCATTTGGTGAGACACTCATATCTGATACCTGCAACATTATGTAGCGAACAACTATGCCAAGATTATTTTGTCTGTATGAAGAATGATAAAGAATTACATATACTGTTGCAATTTTGAGGAATTTTTACCAGAATAGTGAACTCCTTATTATAAAAGCGATAAACAAAAGTTGCCAAATACCTTTACCTGTGAAGAGTGTACAGCGGGTAACAACCTTTCTGAATCTCCTGAATTAAGGCACCATCGTGCTGCAACAGAACTTTTATTTTGCTATGTAAATCCGGAATAGGCTTTTTGTAGGAAAAAACATACAGTCAGCTGCTCCACACTTGGAGATGAAAAAGTTTTTAGTTCATAAACGAAGTTACTGATTCTCATTATCTTGCCGACTGACAATGAAAAGGGTCAAACAAGAACGAATTCAATAACTTTTACACTAAAAAGTATTAGGACAACCAATGGAGATTGATATGAGCATATCATGTGAACTTCTTCATACCCATTAATTTGAAAAAAAAAAGAAATTGATACGCGGCAAAGTAACACAATATGTGAGCAGGTCGAACTGCGGAACATGTTCTCTTTTCATATATGAAAACTTACTGATATTTCCTTCAAAATCCGCTGTGAAAGCCAACGCTTTCTCCGGACATACCGTAAGAGCTGTTATCGGTTTGTTATGTCCTTTCAAAACTTTTGATACAGAACAGCTCTCTAAGTCCAATATATTTATGAAACCCGAGAGACTGACTCCAGCAAGAAAAGCTTTCGTCCAAACGATGGAAAGTTGTTGATCATCAACATTTTTTCCTATCACAAAAGTTCTGAAGACAAAGAAACCGGCAAATCATAAGAATTCCCCAGATCCAAAACACAAACATCATGAAAAAATAGCTACAATAACAGGGAAATAAAATAGGTAATACATGTACAGGAAAAAGAAAAAAAACTCGAATAATAACTTCTCCAATTTCCTCGAAGCAATATCCCAAATTTTGATGGTTTTGTCACCGGATGCAGTTGCAATATGCTGCCCATCTGGAGACCAACATAACGCAAAAACGCTTCCAGCATGAGCCATACCTTTACATTGGTCATCCACAAATTCTCCCTCTTTTTGACCACTTGTTCCATCGTACAATATCACCTAAAACTCACGATAAAAACTACAACCTTGCAGATGAAATAATCCAAGCAGGTCTCGAGCAATCAGTACAAGCAAAAGTAGTAAAACAAAACCTTTCCATCTGCTCCCGAACTAGCGAACAATGTACCACTAACGTTATACCGGACACAGTAAACAAAACGGGTATGTTCGTGGAACAGCTGCAACACCAACAAATAATAAATATAAAATCAACTTAAGGTGCATTGAAGCTTAAATTACAAACTTACAGTAAGAAATTTAAATGGAGGTCCTTCGAAGAGCGCAACAGTATTGTCTTCTGAACCACTCACAAGTCTGTAGGGTCTAGCAGGACGAAAATCAATACTTGACATTGTGCGACTTTGACCCGAAAGGTTCCCATTGGAAGTTCCCGTATCAAAAAGGAAAACATGGCCAAACCTAAAAATTATAACCTTCATTAACAAAAAATTTTCAATTCTTCAAAAGAATTCTATGTCAGATTTCGGTTTTTTTGACCAACAACCACTAGTTCAAAAATTGGTAACTAAACTTTATCGTTAACAAAGTAAACCTTTCACGTCCTTCACCAACCACTGCTATCCTTTTGCTGTCGTCAGACCATGCAATGTCACGAACAGGACCTGACAATATTGGATATTCAGCTTTTAGTATATGTGTGGGTTGTGTCGCATCCCAAATACGTATTTTTCCGGACTGGTCACCAGATGCGATGTAAAAACCGGATGGAGAGTACTTTGCCACAGTTGTGGGATTCGCATGTTCGGTATAAATTTCACATTCTTTTGGATTCTGTAATAGAGAACTACTGATTAACCCAACTCCAAGAAAGCAGCATTATTTCGCGTACACAGCAAGTCTGCAACTAAGAAACAAATAAAAACACTATATCGGAAAACTAGTCTCAGTTAAGCATCATTTCTAACTGATGTGTTTAACAAATTCTTCAACAGCTTATCAGTGAAACTTCAACAGCTTATCAGGCCAGAAGAATAAAATCTCTGTTAAATCACCTGGATACTACGAATGTAAACGGAATTGCCATTGCAGTAAATCAATTTCTGGCCGTCCGGACTTGCATGCAACGACAGAGGCATTCCTCTAACAGTACGCGGCAAGGAGGCAAATGTTGCATCTGAAATTTGCAAAAATAAAGCCCTGATAGTAAGCTAAAATGATTCAATCTTGATATATATTCCATAATACTTGCAAATGTATATGCCTGCAAAAAGACTGAAATTTCAAGATCTTTTTTCATCACATGATAAAACAAACTGCCCATGTTTAGATCACTTTAAAAAGGGCATTCCTATCTCAGGAAGACAGGATCAGCTGGTTGAAAGTGTTAGTAAGAAAGTCAACACGCAAAAATAATCAACAACCTTGAACATATTCCTCTGTCGACGCCATCAAATGTGCTTACAAAATAAAAATGAGTTGGGCGACACGGTTTGGATCTTTCCTGCAACAATATTGGTATTTCTTAATTTCAAATTTTGTAATTAAGCGAAATTTGGCGAAAACAAGCAAAGAAATACGTATTAAAAACCTGAATATTCTGCAAAGTCACAACGAAAACGGTAGGAGCTCGAGATGGTGCAAAAGAGCAGGATCATAATGAATTATCCACGGATACTAAGGGAGAAAAGAAGGGGAAAAGACAGAGAGCCAGATGAAATATCGAAAAAAATGATACGCCACTTGACCAGGTAATTTCATCGTGCTAGTAAAGCGCTGTCTCATAGTGTTTTACGGAGACTCTTGCCAATGACCCCAGTGGAAGGCCACGAACTGTGATATCAAATTCATCCCTACCAAGTAATTCACCCATCAAAGACGTATTCCTAGCATACAACTAATTACTGTAATTTCGCAGTAGACGCAACTTTGAAATATATTTACATGCTCGTATCACCACTATCATCCAGACTGCTCTTTTCTCCTATAAAATTAACCATTTCGTACAGCACTGCGTGTCGTCTGGGGTCTATGGGATGGCAATGTTTCGATAGAATGAACGCAGCCGGATAAAGACATTCTGCTGAAAGCCTCAAGACCGAGAAGGCGATGCCTAAGAACGGTTAGGATCATTGCCGCCGTACCAAAATAACAGGATCGAAGAGTTAAGAGAACATTGCATGGATCAATTTGAGCAAGGTGGATATCCAATTTGCACAAAGCTGAACAAAGAAAAAGGAGTGAAAGTGGAAGGAATAGCTTCTCGTTAGTTGATAGACAAGAGTTCTTAGTAATAACAACAGAGGAAGAGGACATATCAACAGTTGCTGAGAAAAGGAAAGTGGATGAAAGAGAATGAACTGGAGATAGGATCGATGTGGAAGCTTGAGATGAGGTCGATCGACTTGCACTAGAATACACCCACGAATGAGTCTGCTGGGATAGACAAATTCCACTTATGAAATAGCTATAGCTATGAGCGGTGAAGGGATCGTACTAATTTTTCGTTTAGCTGAACAATTCCAATAAAAATATGAATTGTACTAATGGTCAGTATTAACACTAGTCTGGAACTGTCAAACAAACGCAGAGAGAGAGAGAGGGAGATGAATGTAACCACTTATTTCAAGCATAAAAGTCCTCAACAGTGATTTTAGATGTTATAAACACAAAACACAATGCTGAATTTTTTGTCACCGGTCGATCCCACCACTGCCATTTAGGATTTTATTAGAAGAAACAAGATATTCCAAGTTTTCTGCACATCTGTGGTGAAATATGGGACCGAATTTCAAGCTGTTTTCAGAAAGCAATGATATGAGTTGTTTTTCACTTGATTACAACAAAAATGTGCTATCACGAGCCACTTGCCTAGATATCCGTGATCGATGGACCTCGGCTAATTATATATGCATCAATATCTCTTTAAACAAACACAACCACAAAACCTGCTGTGATATACCGCTGTGGAAACACCTTATATGCAAGTCCTTAAACTACGAACCTTCAACTCAATTTATTAATAAAATGGAGGTAGGACGAGAGCTTTTCACAATGACTCAGTCAGTTCGCATGCGCAGGTGATTGCTTATAGCAATGGAGGCGGGGCGGTCGAGCGAAGGTGGTCTTTCTCGCCTGGGTAAATTGTGGAGCAGTATTCCGGATAAACTGGGAAGCAGGAGTCCGGACGGCGTATTTTGCTAGCAGTGAAGTTGATAAAGTATTCCAGGTTAAATGCAATGCGTATCGGGGCGAGTGAATTGTGTCGAGAAGAGCACGAATACATGCTTAAATTTCTGCTCGTTGGTGACTCGGATGTTGGCAAAGACGAAATAGCGGACCTTTTGGGGCCATCTGTCTCATACACTCCAGATGCTCTCTTCATACGTAATTCATTACGCGTTATTATTTTTAAATTTATGGTATTAGGTAATTTGTTCTTTCAATAAAACTCATCTCCAAAGCTTGTAAACATCATACTGTCTATGGTTTCACGCTGTGCGATTTGTTTTGCTCTCTGAAGCTCCCAAGTCCTTTAATATTTTTAACCACGGCCTTAAACGTCGCATCGACAATGTTTTCCCTTGCATTTTTGCAAATATATTTTAAAAAAAGTGCTCTCGTGAATACAGTGTAGTCCAAGAAAAAAACACTTCTTTGTTATTACCATACCGCAAAAATATCTGCTTATTTAGAACCTTTTAATTCAAACCTTTTGATATAGTAGTTACCAAAATCATTTTCAACAATGTATAATTTCCCAAGAACTGCCAGCTTCTGTCACATTTTGCCAAATCATCAAACAAATACGTTCTGACTTTCTAGTTTTTACGCAAACAGATTTAATAGGAATATTGTTTTTAGCATTTGCAGTTCCTAAAACGACAACAATACTGTTAGAGGGAAAGTTCGTGCGATTGCAATTGTGGTCGGTTTTTCTTTTTTTTTTCTGTTCGTTTTGATTCGTATAGATATGATAATGAAATGATAAGATTTTATCCATGTGAAAATAAACAAGGTTTTCCAATAGTTTTCGGGCTTTCAGGAATGCATCAGGGCAAGGACGCTTCTCTACTATAATCAAATCATATTCACGGGGAGTTCAAGGCATTTTATTGGTTTATGACATTACGAATAGATGGTCTTTTGATGGTATACGCCGATGGCTTGCGGAAATTGATGAGGTTTCTGTGGAAGAGTTTAATTATACCATTTAAATTCAATTCCTTTGATAAATAAAGCACACCAGCATTAGGAGAAACTTTCTTAACCATTTGTTTTTGTTCAAACTGGTCAGTTCTGAGTTTCTAATATGAAGAGAAGTATGGAGATGTTTAAAGTTTGCAAATATGTATGTTTCCAGCATGCACCTGGTGTCCCGAGAATTTTAATCGGCAATAGACTTCACTTGGAGTTCAACCGAGCTGTTCCGCGTCATGAAGCAGAATATTTTGCCCGAAAGAGGAATATGCAATATTTCGAGGTCACTTTTTTTTGTCTCTTTTTACTCACCGAATTAGTAAATGAGTGCCGATACCGCACGGCGGTAGTCTTGAAAGAATGGAAAATAAAAGCTAAAAAAATTTGCAGATCTCAACATTAGCGTATTTTAATGTACATGAAAGTATCACGGAGCTAGCACGTTTGGTCATTTCGAGAAACGGAATGCAGTGGTTGTGGAAGAGTTCCCAAGGTTTTCTTAATGATATTTGAAAAGAATGGAGTATCGGAATATTTATGTTTTCGTACTTTAACTGATTATTCCGTATACCATTTAATACTAATAACTTGGCGGCTGTTTCAGTTGCCTCCTTGCAAGATCTCTGTTGTCGAGCTGTCGTAAAGTATATTTCAAATGTGCATGCTATTGATCGACTACCTCTTCCCACATTTCTCCAGTTAAAAGTGACTGTTCTTTGATTTTTATAGTTTACACAGGAAGTTTTTTTTTTGTAATAACATTATATTTGCTAGCTTGTTTTTGAGGACTGATAACTTGAAACTCCTTATTATTGATAGATGTTATGTTAATATGGTCAATGAGATGATTCTTGGTGAAAAACATCTGGAGAACAGTAAAACTCTAATAGCTTTGCAAACACTGCCATGACAAGCGTAATAAACTGCTGAATGAATCATGGACCTCGCATTGTTTTTACACTGAAAGTGGCATGTTGATTCTGTTTTTATTGGTACTAAAAATACCATCAGCTTGTTCACTTCAGTCATTCCTGTTGTATAATAAAAAAGGAATTATAATGTCTTATTTTTTCTGTAAGCCTTACATTACAATCCAGAACAGCATTACGACGGAGATTGAATTCTGTTTTGAATAGCACCTTTTGTCACATTCAACTATTCTTCATTGAAATATAACAGGGAGACATTTTTAGGTCGTTTCTTACTAAAATGGAGTACATCGAAGTTTTGCTTTTTTAAAATTGATAGTCTTCATGTACTGGAGTTTTGTAATATATCGTCATCATTTAGATGCTATGTTGTTTCAGGTAAGATCCTTCGCTTCTGGTGCGGATTTGTGTATGCACAGTGTTATACGGCGTCAGTATGCGACTCCATATTTCAGTTCAGCAAGTAAATACATAACACGTTTTGTACGAGCACGAAATACGAACACAAAAGATCGTTTGCGAAACGCGAACTGCGATTTGATGTGATGCAAAGTTCTCTAAGCTAACTGCATAAGTGGTTTGTTGTTTTTTATAAATTATTAGTTAGTCCAGATTTCAAGAGTTTAATGAAGGCTACTTTTGAAAGTTTCAGAAGGTTACTTTGTGATAATTTGGAAGGTGCTTCAACTTTTTTCCTGCTGATCTTTGCTAGAAAGTAACCCACTGACTCGAAGTTATTTCAGACATGCTGTTAAAGCAGTCGTACAGTACGAAGCTATCAGCCGCCATACTTAATCTTTTTTTTTCTGTGAAAATCATGAGAAATTGCTTCATTTTTTTGTATCACTGAAAGTTAATCTTATGTTACAGGTTCATTCGTTACTGGTTTTTTTCAGTTGCCACTGATCAGAAATAAGATCACTCTCACTCTAATAATATGAATTTAATTGCTGTTGGTTCTTAGAGTTATTTATGATGAATTGCTATTAGCAATTCATGTCTTTTACAGAATTCCTGAACACAGTTTAATTCTTGTTGAACTCTTAATCGTTTTATATGTGTCAATAAATTTGCATTACTAATGTAATTCATGTAGCTTTTTTATTGTTGTGAGATGTTCACTTTTCATATGCCGAGGATTGTACTATTACTCAGATATTGGACTGATGCTGAAAAGCAAAACTTCGGGCAAAATATTTGCATTTAACAAGGTTTTAGTTTGACGCTTTTGACTGATGCCCTACTTATCGAACTGATGTTATACATTTTAACTAGTAGAAATTCAAGGTCCTTCTAAGGGAAATACTTTTCCTATTTCTGGAAAATAGGTCCCGAAATGGGGCGAGAGAATATAAGAGCAGTAAATTAATCCAAGTTATGGCAGTTGTATCAGTTTCTCTCTACTTATGACGTGTATAATCTTTTAAACCCGTTTTCCTGTCAGTTATTTTCTGTGAAATTTTCTGTGAATTTAAAGTTAATTCGATTATTCTTTACACAAGAAATTAGTAACAGTAACATTAGTAGTAGCAAAGTACACAAGAATCTTAGTGGTCACGAGCGTTTTATTTTAATCAAAAGTAAACCCCTACTTAATCTTCCTTTGTTTTGTTTTTTCGAAGGAAAAATCCTGGTCCGTTATGCATAAATAGTAGGGGAAATCGGGATGTTCTGGAAAGTTACGGATGGTCGCTGTTCTGTGCGGAATATTCGTGTTGGTGTCACTAAAAAGGCTTGAAAAATAGCATGATAAGTGTAATAAGCTGCTGAGTGGATCGTAAAATTCACATTGTTTTAACAGGGAATCAACGGTTGAAATAACAAAGCCCTTACATAGAGTTTTGGCTTGTTCCAGTTTCATTGTGGGCATAGTACCGTTGTCTGGTGCGTGCGTCAAAATTACTGATTGATGCATAGTTCGCGCCTGAAAAATTTCAAGTTTTACAGCAAGTAGTTGAAGTCTATGTAGGGGAATCCTTCAATCTTAATGGAGTGTCTATGATATTGGAATATTCAGCAGCTCTTCGTAATTCAATAATAATCATCTATTAGCGTCCATTGTTTGTCTCCTTTTCATGATTGATTTATGACATGGTTGCATTCAAACATGCTGTTATTCTTTCTAAATCATAGCAACTTTGAATTATTCCCTCCAAGAAAAATGAATTTTAAAACAGAAAAAACTTGAACAAATGTAAAGAACTGTTCCTAAGGAATTGCTAGAAATATGACAAATGAACCTATACTTTTGGTAGTTTTATCTGCTTAACGATATCATACATATTACTATCTGCTTGCAAATTAGCCAGCCTAAAAAAATATCAGGCCAGTATGAGAACCATTCTTCTCACTTTATTTGAAAGTTAAACATTCTAGACACCAGATTACTGTCATGGTAATCGAGATTTGTCGAGAAATGCGAGTAAATAAGTGTATAAGCATATTCAAAAATTACAGACCTGAAGTGGCATTTGTTCCAAACAAGGCTATAGTTTTGTAATATCGGCAATTTTGGAAGTGGTATGTTCAGGTATGAAGAGTTCGATGCATGATACGATGATATGATATTTCATGTGGATGGACAACTTTTCTTGCTGAAGAAGCCAATGAACTTGATAAAGTGGACATTAAGACAAAAACGGCACGTTGTGCTTATAAATAATTCTTACTATATTAAAGTGCAACAATTAGATATGTAATCTTAACAGCTAGCTTAACGTCTTAGTTGTTAATTATTAATGCACTAAATTAAGACTTGCATTCCTCTTTAAGCATCCAAAATTTTCGTTATTTTTAGCATCCCTTCAATCCATTTGTTTCTATGCCACGCAATATTGGATGTAGAAAATTTACACACTCAACGCCAAGATTGCTATCTTTTTTCCTTTTCTTTTTCCCCTAGCTTCTTATTTGTCTTCATTCATCAACAAATACTACTGCAATATTATATTAGCAAAAATATATGATCCAAGTAACTGATGATTGTTATTGAAAACTGCACAACAAAGATTAATTTCTTCGTTCATTTAACATTCCCATGGAATAGTGATGACAAGCAATATTAATGATGACATCACTTTCAGGATAACTACCAATTTAACAATTCTCTTAACAAAATTCCTTCTTTTTTTTAAAGTGATTTGACATCAATGTTTTATTCTCTTGATAAATTGCACTACTTCCTCTACAGCATAAATGATTGACTTTTAAAGACAAATATTATTCCAGAAAAAGTAATGACAGGAAAGAAGTAAATCAATTATAAAAATAATTAATAAAAAAGGAAAAAAAAACCACAAAGTGTAGGAAATTCCTATGATATTTTTGAACTTTGCTATTTCTCGAGAAGTCACAATATCAGAGTAGAAAAAAAAGACGAAGTCGAGTTTCATGGATTTTTAAAATGAGATTTGTTACAACCTTTGACACCAAAAAGTTTTGCTAGTATTTGGGTTATTTTCATGACATCGAGCGTAATCTGGGGATACATTTCATTAGAATAAATCAACGATGAACGACTTTTTCTAACATTTGCTCTGCAAACATAACCCAAAACTAAATAAAGTGTCAATTTTTTAAATGCGATTATTCGCAATCGATTTGTACACTGGAAAAAAAAAATTTTGAATAAGTTGAATGAATAAGTTATTATTTTCAAGAAGCAATCGGCAAAAATGAATAATTTAAAAGAAGGTGAAGAGAGAGAGAGAAAGAGAGAGAGAGAGAGAAAGGAAAAGGAGTAAGGAAAAAGGAGAAGAGATAGGAGAATGGCAATTTATTTAATTAATATATATGTATCATGCGTATTGTTCAATTAAATGGGTAATAAACATAACGTCAAAAACTTTAAAGGACGGATAAATGTTGATAGTAGGAAAGTGGCTGATAACGCACATGCAGGATAGGATCATTTTGTGGAGAGAACATTTGAGAATTAGTTAATTATCGGTAATCATTTAACCATACCAATATCTGAACCTCCCGACCTTTCTTGCATTCTCTCCCTGATTGCCATCCTATAAGAGTAATATTTTTTCACATAAGGTAATGATGCCGACAAAAATGTGCGTAAAAACTAATGCAAAGTGTATTTGATTTATATCAAATTCTAATTTTTCTCGGCATTTGACTGAATAGCCGTGAACATTGTTTGTTTGTTTTTTCTCTCACCATTTTTTTTTTCCTTTTTTGAATGGCACTAAAAAATGAGTTAATTAGTTTAATGGGAAATCCGTCAGCCCTTCTGTATTACTACGTTAGTAACGAAATATTTCACTTTTTTTTTTAAAAAGAAAGAAATTTCATTAAAATTTGTGATATTATTTATGACGAGTCAATCTTAACCCTTCCTCCTCTTCCTTTTCCCTTTTCCACCCTCTCTTTTTCCATTCACCATCTCTTTCTCCTGTCTTCTTGCCTCTCCCTCACCTCCGCCCCTCCGCAGTGATTTTACCTGTGTACATAAAATTTTTTCATTCTAATATTTCATAATTCTATTATGTGATAATAAAATAGGAGAAATGGAAAAGGTGTGGTAGATTGAAATGACAGCTATCTTCCCTTCCTTTTTTACGTAACTTCCTTTATGATATCTTATACGTACACGTGCTCAAAATTACACATCGAATTCACTTCATATATATCAAAAAATGTGCTAATGTTTTATCAGAACTCTATTTGTCAAGGCCAATTTGTCTACCTTTGCTCCAAATGACGTATTGAAAGCTATCGACAGATAAGGTGCGTCATTGATGTAGAGGTAAATGCTTGACCATAGTTTTCTTCGTGGTGAAAGCGAATATTTCGCGGGGCAAAGCAGACTGAAAACTTTTCACCGATCAGTTACAAGCGGTTTCCTCGTCTCTTCCTTTTATTCTCCACACCTATCAGAAGAGGATTGTTGTAATTAATGATTTCATTCCAATAATTACAAAATGGTGCTGTCTTTCCCAACAGTTAATATTCACGTTGTAGGCAAGAAAGAAGGGAAAAATCACGGGCGCCGAATTGTCGCCATCTCAGTGGACAGCTGTGACCGATTATGTTTTACACTTTTCCCTACAAAAGTACTTGAAAATCAACCGCTGTTTTCTTACCTATATCTTTCACATTCCAATAATCAAAGTTGTTCCTCAGACTGAATCTTCTCACATTTGTAAGTCTATTGAGAATATGATTAGAATATTAAAAATTACCGCATCTTTGTTTTACTATTGTCAACATTATAATAATACTAAAAATAATGAGTGTTTTATGTTTTTAATGGAGATAAAATACAAGAGAAGAGTTTTACTAGTTCCTAAAAATCTAAAAATTCATTTTACAAAGCAGTTTTTTTTTCTACTCAAAAAAAAGAAAAAATAGAAAAAACCAATTGAGAAAATTACGATCAAAATTTGTTATCGTTCCAAAGTGAAACATTACGCATGCATTATACATAACAGAATAATTAGATAACCATAGAATATCCATTTAATATCATCAAATGAAACTATGAAATTCATTCATCTAGCAATTATTTTAAATTTCGTGAAAAAAGACGCTCAATACTCATATGTAACAAGCAAATGGATAGAATAAAGTGAAAGACTAAACGATCTATCAACAGTATAACATTTCTTCGGAAGCTAATGACATCAGCGCATAAGCGTAATGCGCTAACACCACAATCAAAAGATGTTATTCATTTTACATGTTTGAGCTGTCATTTAGCTTGTAGTAAAATGATAAATGATTAAAATATGAATCACTAAAAAAAGTGATGATATTGTTTCATTGAATGAAAAAATATATTTCACATTTTACCAAATTTGCTACATTTTTATATCACATATCTAATTATGGAATTAACAAATAAATTGATTCAAAAAATGAGATATCATTCAGGAATTTACCGTGTTTACAATATAAACAATTTTTACATGATATTAATATGCAAACATATAGAATGACATAAATAATGAAATGTGACGATTACAATATATGAAAAATGTTACAAAAAAGTTTGGAGAATTTTTAATTTCATTTATTCTTACTTGATAAAAATTTCCTACTATAAATCAATATATGTTTAAATTATTTGTTATATCACTGGATGGAGACAGTTTGTTTAAACTTTTTATTTAGAAAGCAACAGGAATTTCCGAATATATTCTGCAGGATTTCATTCTTTCCATGCATATCTTTTCCCTTTACTTGAATTATACGATGGATAGAAATGAATATTGGTATCATACTATTAAATTTTGTCAACCTAATTTCACAGAAATAGCCAATTTTCAATACGGAACTTAACGAATATTTTCGATTTCCATCATTAAAAATATAATATACCAATACTCTCACTGAAATGTTAGCTAAAACTTTCTGGCTCAAGTGATATCATTCACCATCAAATGGTAATCATTATCATTAGTAGAAACCGACGTGTAGCAGATATTTTAAATTTTAAACTATTGAAAAATTTCGTAAATTGTATAGTTTCCGTTGTAAATACACTAAATCGCATCATTTTGAAATCTGCAATACACAATGAAAGAAAACGCAGAAAAGAAAATTACGATAATCATAAACTAAGAAGTAATAAGTCTCAAACCTGCAAAAAATCTCGTGAAAATCATACGAGATGACTAAATAAAAATCTCCTGATTCTAAAAAGTTTCCCGAGTCTACTTTTTGCTGCTAAAGCAGCCATTGCATACCGGTAACCAGTCAGAGATCAATTATACAACGATATCTGATATGCAACTTCAGTACCGTACAAAAATACAGTGCTCCGTAGCAGGATAATGTAGAAGATAAGCGATAAATGAATTAGCAAGCAATATCATAATTTAAAAATTTTTGAAACTTTGTGACCAATGTGACAGGTAAAATCACCCTCATTACATTTAACTATTTTCATTTTTTCACACTTATAATTTCTATTTCCTTCCACTTCATTACCAGTCGTCATTTTCTGCTTACATCTAAGAATTTGACAGTGTTCTATAACAAAAACTAATTCGTAACATATAATAACAAATAAAATAAGCAGTGGATAAGAATTCAATCAAATTTCACCAGTGAGGATTGTAAGCGAATGGAATATAGGTTTTTGAAGTACCACTTACGGCTGCATTTGCAACAGCTGCTGCTGCAATTGCGCTTGCTTGAGCAAATTTCACTTTTTCAACTTCTGCTTCCTGAAGTCGCTTTGATTTCGCTCGCCGATTCTGAAAAAAAAAGGAACATTTTTATGATATTTGCTTACTTATTTTTAGATACAATTTCAAATTTTCCAAAAAATTTTTTGAAATAACTAATGCTGCAAATTTATTTATCCGGAAAAGATTTTTTAATCATTTTAGCAAAAATAACGAAATTCATCACTTTAAATTATTTAAATTTTAAGTTAATTTATTAACAAGTATAATACTGTAATCTATTTCCGGCAAGTGGTGCATGTTTGGATGTCCGGCAAATGTTTGGAATAAGCGGAAAATATACGAAAATTTCGAAAATATCATGATAATAGTTGATTCAGTTTTCACTCATTTTCCTTCTTCAATTGCATTACATTGTGGAACTTTTTTCGCTTTGAATACATAGTTTCGAAAATGATACTATAAGGTGAAATTTATCAAAAGCGTGAAATCATCAGTACCCAGCACAGTTAAACAATTTCTTGCGCATGTTAATCCTTTAGTAAATTTTAATGATTCGATGAGTTTGGCTTTTGATGATTTAATGAATGCATCATTGTGTTGGAATTTCACTTTGCTGCATGCGCATTTTTTAATGAAAATTTGATAAATTAAAATTTGTGTTTCTAATTTACCAAAAAGTATCGACAATGCAAATGTGTGCGTTTGTGATTTAGCAGCTGTGGAAAGTATGGGTGGTATATGGAGGCCAATTCTTTTGCGTGTCACCCAGCAGGATGTCTCACACGATTTGCGGGCAAAGGTCGTCCTCGGCACGACAGAAGTTTCAAAGAAAGGGCAAACAATTAGAAGTTTATATGCAAAACGCATATTGCCAATTCAATTCTTTTCTGTAATTTTAAAATTTCTAGTAACTTCAAAATTAATCGAATTTTGCATGAAACTTAATGTGTGCAAAAATTCAGTCCATAGCAAAGTGATACAGTACATTCGATTTTGCCCCTGACTGTATTACAATTTAACATGATTACGATATATGATATAAATGTATCATTAGAGGAACTATTGCAGAAATTCAACAATTAGCTTAAAGTAATTCATTTTAAATAGGAATGAAAAAGGAAAACATCTATTTGCATACACTGACAGATGAAAACAGCATAGGCGACATTTGTCAAACTTTGTTAATGCAATTGAACAATATTACTCTCTCTGTTCATAAAACAGATTTTAATTCTCGAAATAAGCTTTTGATTTAGAAATGAGTGAAATTAGGATGGTGACATGAATGGATGGCAGGAATGGGAAGAATGAGAATAATAAAAAAGCATTAATTGAGAAAGCCATCCATCATAAATCAGTGGCACCGTTGGATTATTCTTCCCTATTTACACCATCAACTATCATTTGTTTTCATTTTTTCCATTTTCCCGAATCACACACATACATACACAAACATACACACATGCACACACACACACACACATACACATACATACATACATATACATGCAAACACCTGTTTCCACAACACGATGAGCACATTTAATTCATCATGCATTATTGCTATTCCACTGATTTTTCATGGAACCTTTGCCCCCTCCTGCTTCTTCTCCTATTAGTCTCCAATCTTCTTTTTAACTAATCTCTGACCTCTAATTACTACAAATGAAATTCATCATCCATTCTCTGTAGGAGAAAAAAAAGAGAGAGGAAGAAAAATTCCTTAGCTGTAAATGTTAGAAGCAAATATTTCAAGTTGTGTATTAGATATGCGACAAAGTTACAATAATGGTTAACATTTGAAGAATGAAGAACGTCCTATGGAATTAGATTAAAATACTTCATCCGAATATGAGATGATCATCATCATGGGATGTTATGGATCGCTAAGCCAAATAATCCACATTTTATACAATTTTTCGCTACCAAAACAACAAACTTAATAAATCATAGCTAACAAGATCGATCTATCTATGCTATAATGATACAAGTTCATTTCGGACATACAATTGCATCACAGTAATGATCACTTACTTATTTCTACTAATCGCTTCTACATTAACAGGACAGAGAGATAGATATAGAACTCGTATGCATATTCCTTATTAACGTCTTATTACACGTAATTACGTGGTACGTCACTTTTATAGTGTTACTTATAATTCTTAGTTTACTATTTGTCTGTTTTCTTGGTTATCTACAAAATTTGCATGTATTCTTGCTCATTTTAGGAATCATAAATTACCGTACCATCGAAATGAACACATATTGAAGAAGATTTTGTATGTCTGCGTGTGTCTGTGCGCATGTGTGAATGTTCCTGCGCCAATGTCAGCAGTACCTACCCATCGACGTCTGATAATATTTGTTTAGGCGCATTTCGTCTATCATCGTCTGCATACATATGTATATCCTTGGACATCGAACTCTGTATCTGTCTATGCTATTTAGTTAGCGTCATATATATACATGTGTGTGTATGTGTGTGTGTGTGTGTCTATGGGGTATGCGTCACCAATGTCATACTGTACCTAATGGCATATTTCAATATTGAAAAGCATGGATTGAATTACAAACTTTCTAATATAATATATGTTTTGTAAAATTTGAAACTAAAATTTATAGCAATATTGGATAATAATTTTGAAATTGAAGAAAAGTAAGATGTGATTAGAAAGAGAAGCACAAGTGAGGAGACATGATATGGATAGAATTGCACCTTTTTCCTCTCTCTTTTCTTCCATCTTACCCTTTGAAGAAAGTGGAAATAGAAATGATTGGATCAAAACATAGGTCAGATCCAAATATTGACTAAAATTAACTTTAACTTTATTTGAACGTCACAGAGAAAAGAAAATGACCCCATCGGCCTTATCATCAAACATTTGGCTGGAAGCAGTAACGAAAAGCGATCAGTTTAAACATGAATTGATGCAATTGCTAAATTAAAATCTAAAAAATTCCTGTCCTATTTGAAACTTTGAGGTAGATATTGAAAAATGGGAATAAAACGACCTTGCAATGATTTTTGTTTTCGAAAAAACAGCATTTTCGAGAGAACAATGCTACGCAGTGATAAGGTGATAAAATAAGATATATGACGTAACGTCACTCGTTAAAATGTTCACCCATATCATTTTCAGGTAAATCAATTATGTTAAGCGTTTTTATAAGGAGGTAAGGGAGATTGAAAAGTATAGAATAGATACCACTTGGTTATATGGCTTAAAATTGTTTATTCCGCTGCGGAAACAGTTTATAATGAGCTGTTATTTGGATAAAATTAATATTTAATGAGGAATTAACATAATGAGATGTATTACCTCGTCTTGTTTCTAGAATTCTCCGAATTCACTCGACAAAAGATCAAAGATAGCGCCAGTGATTGCTTAATCGTGGATAATATCCATATACTCAAAAAATTTGTTTCCCTTCTCATCACCATTTAATGGATGCAAAACATTACATATTCAAAACTTTTTTCTCCCTGACCTTCTAATCCTTCTGTCTTCCGGTTACTTTCTTGTCTCCCCTCCCAGTCCCCACTGTCCCAACTCTCTAGGGGTGCCACTTTCAGCTAACGACCATTACGACCATTATCCATTCATCATTATTTAAATGCACTTTTCAGCAAATAATTTAGGATAATTCATCATCATCTGTAATTATCAACGAGTTATCAACAATTTAAGTCCCTAGAAATGCCTTCTATCAAATATCCACTCTCAATTTTAATTTCACTATTTTAGATAATTATTATCTAAGAGGACTGTTGCGAAGTAAATATCGATATCCTGACAAAGTGCTTTTGATTACACATTATTGAATATCCACTAGCCGACACTGTCACTGATATAATCAGTGCATTGATTGATATCTTAGAGAAAATGCATTGAGTAAGGTGCATAAAGTGCCAAGATTTATTATTGTTGATAAGGAAATTATAGGTTATTTAGGGTAAATTGAATGATCCTACAAAAATAGAGAGATATAGATCGTTTTTGTCAATGGGTATTTTGAATGCATATTATCTGTCGTGAAAGAAAGACGGAATTTTACGAGCCTATTACTATATTATAAAATGTCAAAGGTCAGTGCGAATTCAGATCGATAAGCTAACAATGACTAACAAAAGTTGTATTTATACAGTAATACTCCGTTCTATGACAGAGAAATGCTGCTAAAATCGAGTTTTTAAACGATGGTAACACTTCAGATTAAATAATTGATATGATAGAATGTTATAGCATGTACTATACGGATATAGCAACATCTTGAGTTACGATGGATAATCACTTCGTCATCACCTTATAAATCTGGATTTTCAACAAAATTTCGATACTTGAAACTTTTTTCTAAAGCAATTAATTCAATTTAATTTATTTTTCACAATTCTCCTCCTCATTCGCTAAATTTCACTTCCTATGAACAAGTCACTAAACTCAAAGCTACCAGCATTTTTGCAATATTTATTATAGTTGCACCATAACAGTGAAAGTGGGAACTTCAAAACTAAGCAAGTGCTAATATTATCATTATATGCGAAAATGACAATATGAAAATATCAACGAAATACTACGAGAATTAGTATACATATGATAAAAAATGAAATATCACTACAAGAATGCTTAAATTGGATGGACGTATGAGAGATGAGGATACGGATGGAAGATATTTACCTGAAACCATATTTTGACCTGTGTTTCGGTAAGCTGCAAGGATGCGCTGAATTCTGCTCGTTCAGCAATTGATAAATATTGCTTCTGTTGAAATTTTCGTTCTAGTGACAGCAGCTGTTGTGTGCTAAATGGTGTCCTAGGTTTACGGTTATTCTTATGCTTCCGTAATAAGCATTTGGTTATGCCCATTGCCGCTAAACTTTTGTGTTCAGCTGAAAGAACAAATAAACAAATGATTGAATCAATAATTAAATGAATTACCTCTTATCAATCAGTTATGATTTTCATGATATTTCACTTGAAGGAACCAGAAAACTGGTTGATATAATGTCGTCCAGGAGATGAGGATAATAATAATTAAAATTTGTTACTTACGAGGAGAGGAAGATTGTTCTGACGAAGTTGCTTGCCAAGGGTAATGTGCGAGGAACGAATCAGTTGTTGAGCCGGGACAATTATCTGCGGAAGTACCACTAGGTATAGAATGAATATAAGTAGGCAGCAGAAACATTCCAGTTGGATCAGTTGCTAACGAATACCCGGAACTCGATGTCTCAGATTGCGAAACTCGTGAAATAGATGGGATCGTAACTACGGAAGTTGTAACAAGCGGGTTCACCGGCGATGGTTTAGGAATTTTTTGAGAAGGATCGCTAAATATAACTATTTCAGTATAACTGATTAATAAAGATTACAAATTAATCATTAAAAACAATTAATACAATCCTTGCTATTAAGTGCACATATAATAATTACGTAACATACAAATTTAATAATTTGAAAAAAAAAGATACACCTGTGAGAAAATGAACTACACGACAATATATTTTCAACACTGAAGGACGCTTTCTTGGGTGTTTTGCTGTTTGATTTCGACAGTCCAATAGTACACATCGGCTACGGCTGTTAAGTCGCTGAAAAGATAGTAAAAATTATAAATAAATTATTCTAAATGGGGTACGTGTGAAGGTAATCCGAAGACTTGATGCTTAATGTTGTTTACTATGTGATAATATTTTGCAACTTATGACTATAAGTCATAATATGAGTATGTATAAATAAAAGTGATTGTGCGGATGGGTAATGAATTAGTTCAAATCAACAAAAAAAAAAATTAGTTACTCAGTGTCAAAAGTTACGTTATCGAATTGAATGCATGCAAAACAATAACATGAAGGCGGTCGCAATTTTCGGGTACAAATGGTACCATTTTAGTATTTTACACAAAAGTTGAGGGCGGCAAGTGATAAAACCGGTATGAGACAATAAAAAAAAAAGAAAAAAATAGCATCGAGGCCCATCCCATCCAAATAAATCCAAATATAGAAATGCCGTCGGACTCATACCAATCGCAGTTACTTGCAGTGAGTTGGCAAACGGACTGCAGTAGCAGTAGCAAACTTGTTCCACCCTCTACCGTTTACCAAAAACGATGAATGGTACCTCCCACACCCGCCTGATTTGCTTTACTTTCAACAGTTTTATTGTGTTGCTCCTGCTGTTAACAGCACCATCATCTGATGCAAGAGCATGAATGATGATGATAATGATGAGGACGATAATGACTACAATTATGATCATGTTACTTTATTAAGGGTGTTCATAGTGGGTGTGATAATGTAATGTTAATTGTAACAACGGTTATGTAAATGTTAATGGTAATTATTGGGGTTATAATAGTAATGTTAGTTTAATGTAACTGCTAAAAGATCGGTATTGATTACAGTTTATGATAGCAATAATTCTTGGAGGTGGCGGAATTCCATATGACAGTAAAAAGCATCAATGCATGAGATGAAGTATCATGGAACTAGAGAGTTGACTGAGAAGTGAATGAAGAAGGGTACCGCTGTCTACATAATACCAACCCATCCATCCTCCAACCATTATCATCCAATGGGATTCTGCTCCTCCTCTGGGAAACAGATCTAATAAGTGAAATTGATGGGTCATTATAATTGCCACTTGCTCCTAAATGCTTTCTTCTTCATTTTTAACAACTTTCAAATAGCTTACTGAAATGCTTAATTGCTTTTTTCTAATGCTCATTCCATAGATGGATCTCAGTTGTGGACAAGTAACATAGTAAGAATTCTATCATCATTATCTCCTCTTTCACTTCCGCTCCTTCCTTTCATCAGAATTTGCCTTCTGTTTTCTCAAGTTTATACAAGGTCCTTAGCTATACAATGACAATAGCGGTTGATGCAATGTTGGGAAACAATCTTATTGACCTGATAACTTGGTATCCAGTAGTTCTGATAAAATATAACATTGTAAGTTTGCTTTGACCAGTAAGCTGACCTTGGTTATGAATGATGTCAACTTTTTGAGATAGCGCTATTGTATTGCTATTTTGGGAAATTCAATTTAACGGCGATAGCTCATTATTTGTTTTGGATATAAACTACTAGATCCAATTCTCTTTCTCTTCGTCCTCACCATCATTATCTACATTTTTCCATAAATCTTCATTTTCATTCCAGCTGTTTATAAGTTTTTTTTTCTCATTCATCTATTGTTTCTGAGAATATACCAAATATTGAAAAGTAAAAAGATGGAAATTAACATATAACAACGGTAAAATCGAAGCAGTCTCTACTTTGCACAATGCTACCGTATCCAGCTATTGCTAGTAGTTATCAAAAATGAAGCTGATTAATAAAGCTTAGGATTGCGCATGTTGATATGACACGTTGGCACCAACTGGCAAAGATGCAGAGAATTGCTTTATGCGCTTTTATTACATACAAGAAATGAATTAATTAAGCAGCTGGTGCCCTCACCAAATTGCCATTAACCTTTCCTTATTGTAATTTAATCGCCTTCAAAATTTCCTAATTACCTAATTTGAGCAATGACACCTCCCAGGCTTGTGTTGACCTTTTTCTTTTACCGGATTTACCGTGGATAAACAAACTTCCTTGAAATGATTTCATCTCATTTGTTTGTCTTTGTATACACATCAGGAAAAATGACGGAAATCAATGAACTTTTGAGCTTAAAAAGAAAAATAAAGAATTGAACAAAAAAAATCAGTGAAAACAAGAAGAATTTAATTACAGAACAGCAAATCTTCCTTTAAACTTTATGTGATTGCGGGAATTCTCTCCAGTTTTATGAATTTATGGGATAATTATGCATTTGACCCTTTAAATTCCATTCAAATATATTTGAAATTTGCTGCGAACCTAAAGCAAAGATACTGTACTCCATATTTAGTTAAGATCTCATCATACAAATGCTTAGGTTGTACCATGCAAACTTAAAAATTGACAGAACTTTTACTTACTAACTTTCACATTGCATTGAAATAGCATTTAATTTACGATGTTGATTGATAAGCATGAAGTTCAAAATAAATATAAACCTAACTTTGTTGAGTGATTGCTGAAATTTTGCTAATGCAGATAATCTATTTGTTTCGTATAACTAAAGCTTTTTCAAGATTTATTGCGTCTACACCATCATTATAACGTGAAAAATTAACAGGTGTTGTGTTGTGAGCTGACAAATTGGTAAGAAACTGTCTGTTGTTCGTTTGTTTGTTTTCATTAAGGAAACTAATTCACTAATGATTTATTAATGAATAGTTGCTGACAAAAAAAAAAAAAAAGGAAAAACAAACAAAGG